ATGTAATTTTGGTTTTACTTATCAGCGAATCTCCAGTACCTAATCTGGTATAAAACAACTCTTGGTTGAAAAATCTCAAGGATGGGAGGGTTTCACACAATCGTATTGTAATTTAATATACATGTGAAATAGTATTATATGAGTGTAAAATAATGAACATGTTCATTAAAATTCCTGTCATTAACTGTGAAGAAATGTGTAATTTATTTACATTGCTGTCAATGTGGTGTAACCATGATTATAACAATCCAATATATGATAAAATTTTGGACAGCAATTGTTATATGGTCAAAATATTCTCTACTGTATATGCATTTAATGTCATACTATATTTTAAGACGAGCTAAATGTCAATAAATATAATTTTTAGATCAAATTTTAACATGATATTTCTAATTTAGTAACTTTTAATTTAGTAAGTTAGATACTTGTATTTTGTAAGTAATTTCCATTAATATTCACGCATTTTTAACCGATAACACAGTGTGTTGTATAAAAGTTATAAATATTTTAGCAAAATAAAGTGATAAATTTTTAGAAACTTAATAAATTATTTAAGCTAGAACAAAGACAATTGGGTGACTATAAGTACATTGTGTAACTGATTTGACGATAATTTATGTTGATAAATAAATATACTGCATATGTATTGCTATTTATCATGTTGATTACCATTTAATTTCAAGGCTATGTTTTTCTCGCCTTTTGCCAGACGGCTGACAACAAGCTATACATTGAAATAACATAAGAAATATTTGAAATAAATATTATATAAACTTTTTATGTGTATAACTTCATGACTAATACAGTCCCGATTCATCGATTCGCAAGTCTAATGCCACTATTTATTTAATTGTTTAAACATTTGTGTGTTTTACACACATTTTCATAACTTAATTTTAGCCTTGAATTCTGGAAAACATAATATTTTATACAATATTTAGCTTTTTGTTCAATACTTTCTTTAATCAATTGAAAGAATATCATACTTGTACTGTATTTAATAATAATATGTATTAAATGAATAGCTAGTATTAAGGTATTAATCTTACCTACAGTATATCGTGCAATTATAATTATAAGCAAGCATTTAAATATACATTTAAATTATCGGGAATTTACACTATTTTCAATATTTTGTTTGGAGTCAACTTCAAAACTACTGAATATCCACAAGTAATTAATATGGAAAATATAGCACATAATATTAGCCATATGCACATGTATTTGCCATGAATAGCATCATCATTTTTACAGCAACCAATTGTTGATATTGTTATACAAGTAATTAATATATGTAAATTTGCAATCAAACAATACAAACATGCTATGTTACCTAAGATATAATTAGTTGATATAAGAAACACAATATTTTAATTAAAACTTTGCTATTCGTATAAAATATTGCCCAAAACAATGATTCACAGCTTCCAAGACTGATCCCAGTGCTCATGTGTGGGCACAGTTGTAATCGCACTCATAGTTCATATTGTGATGCTATGCGCGCGAAACCTTATAATTGATAAACTTTTTAATAGTTAATAAATTAAAACTTTTATTTAATGAAAATTATCTAAATTATAAAATTTATTAAACCCATTATTTGTTTAAAAAAGTATTATTTTAATTGCAAACAAAATTAACCTCAAATAAGTTAGTATTTACTGATTTGAAAATATTTTCATCGATATAAATTTTAAATTCTGTTTAGGAGAATAAAAACTATGTTGATAAATTTAAAAGAAATTATAATGGTTATTTTCTAGCATCCAAGTATTCTCGCATATACTGATTGACCAAGGTCGGATGCTCCATTTGCGTCCAATGGGAACAGTTGTCGATGTATTTAACGGTCAAATCGTTGACATAGTTGTGCGCCGCGGCTAACGGTGTGGTCAGATATTTATCATTTGTACCTAAAATACAAAATATTGAAAACAATAAAATGAACATTATATAGAAATTGATAAAAATGTGCAAAAACTATACCCCATATCGTAAGACAGGGTCTTGTAATTTGAAAACTTTTTGGATTGTTAATAGGGTATCGACGGATGACAGCCCTATACCAGTTGAGCGGTGCCGTAAAGCCATTCTTCTGGAACTGATACTTATAGGCCTCCAACTGATCAGATGGCAAGAGTGGCTTATTATCCCAGGTCTGCATCGCGTAGTCGAATATATAATAATCATTGGCCCGAAGGGCGAACTCCGGAAGCCATGGGAGGCTATAAAAGTGCATATACCACGATGCTATAAATTGGGCCCATTCACGCAACGCTATGCGCGTCATTAGGGGGTGCGGGCTGTTAATGATGATCAATTTGTCCAACAGTGACGGGTATTTGGCTGCGAAACGCCAGGCAATGGCACCGCCCCAGTCGTGGGCCACCAAAACTATGTCCCGTTTGCCCAACGCTTCCAACAGGTGTTTCGAGTCGTCCACTATTTTATCGACCGTATAGTTGCGAATACCCCGGGGTTTGTCTGTATCGCCGTAACCCCGATTGTCCACCGCTATCACGTGATAGTCCTTTTCAAACTCGTTCATCTGATGTCTCCACGAGTACCAGAACTCCGGGAATCCGTGTATGAAAAGCATTGTCTGATTGTTTTCATTGCCTTTAGACACGTAATGCATTTTTATATCCTTAAAAACACAATTAAAATTATTATTAATAAATCATAACACCATTTTTGTTCAATTAAACATCACGTTTGTTTTCTAAATCATATTTTAAACTAATTATTGTTTTTAATACAGAAATATAAACTTCAACAATGAGTCCAACCATCAAATATACTCAGGTATTGAAAGTGTTTGCAAAATAGTTGTCGTCAACTAAATTATAAAATAAAGTTTTATTTTCAACTGTATTTCTAATTCACAATTAATTAATAAAATAATAAAACAGATATTTATAAACAACGAGTGGCACAATTCGGTGAGCGGTAAGACATTTCCGACCATAAATCCGGCCAACAATGAAAAGTTGGCAGATATTCAAGAGGCCGATGAGGTACGTGTGTTGTCCACCGAGTTATCTATTAAATAATTAATCACTGCAAATGACTACCCGAAGGCCGATGTGGACAAAGCGGTGAAAGCGGCCCAAAAGGCCTTTGAATTGGGCTCTGAGTGGCGGACAATGGATGCCTCGCAAAGGGGGCGCCTCATCAACAAACTCGCGGATCTCATTGAACGCGACCGACAGATAATTCTGGACCTCGAGGTGGCAGATGTGGGCAAACCTGTGGGTGAGGCACAGTTTGACATAGATGGTGTCATTGGGACACTGCGGTACTACGCCGGGTGGGCCGACAAAGTGCACGGCAATACCATACCGGCCGGTAATATACAACTTTGCATTCATTATTTAAATGCTCGGCTATTGTAATGAATCTGTATAATTGCCGGACAGACGGCCCGCAGTTTGCGTTCACCCGATTGGAGCCGATCGGCGTTTGCGGCCAAATAATACCCTGGAATTACCCGATGGTAATGCTGTCGTGGAAGTTCGGTCCGGCGTTGGCCACCGGCAACACTATTGTCTTAAAACCGGCAGAACAGACACCGCTGTCGGCTCTGCATACCGCGGCTCTGGTCAAAGAGGCCGGCTTTCCGCCCGGCGTTGTAAACGTAGTGCCCGGTTATGGACACACAGCCGGTGCCGCTCTGGCCAAACACCCGCACGTCGATAAGATAGCCTTCACGGGCAGCACAGAAGTGGGCAAATTGATAGTACAGGCGTCCACTGTCAACATGAAACGGGTGACCCTCGAGATGGGCGGCAAATCACCGGTAGTGGTCACCGAAGACTACGACCTAGATGAGGCCGTGCAAATCGCTCACGATGCTTGTTTCGCCAACGCCGGTATGTCTGCCATTTATTATCTCACCTAATACTCTGAATTCATGTTACTTTTGACCATAATTTTTTAGGCCAGTGCTGTTGTGCGGGCACACGTACGTACGTCCACGAGTCCATCTATGACCAGTTCGTGAAGAAGTCCGCAGAGTTGGCTCAAAAGCGATTGGTTGGCGACCCGACCAAAGAGGACACTATTCAGGGGCCGCTTATCGACGACACGCAGACTAAGAAAGTGCTGGAACTGATCGAAGGCGGCAAAAAGGAGGGCGCGGTTTTGGTCACTGGCGGCACACGACTGGCCGGCAAAGGGTTCTTCGTGGCGCCCACTGTGTTCGCCAACGTTACCGACAATATGAAGATCGCTCGGTACGCCATCACCACGTCATAAGTGGTTCATAATTACATTTATGTTTTTGTCATATCATTTAGCGAAGAGATCTTCGGACCCGTACAGCAGCTGCTAAAGTACAAAACCATGGATGAAGTGATCCGCCGGTGCAACGACTCCCGTTACGGTCTCGGCTCCGGTATACTGACCAACGATCTGAACAAAGCCTTGCAGTTCGCGCAGGGAGTGAAGGCCGGATCAGTTTGGGTCAACTGTTACGACACGGCCAGCGTTCAGACACCGTTCGGCGGCTATAAGATGTCCGGACACGGGAGGGAATTGGACTGAACAAAGCCTTGCAGTTCGCGCAGGGAGTGAAGGCCGGATCAGTTTGGGTCAACTGTTACGACACGGCCAGCGTTCAGACACCGTTCGGCGGCTATAAGATGTCCGGACACGGGAGGGAATTGGGCGAAGACGGCATCAAAGAGTACACTGAGGTCAAGGCTGTGACCATTAAGATAGCGGTCAAGAATTCATAAACACATCCCTTTAATTATATTTCACTTTAAAAAAGTGTTCAAAAATCTCAACAAAAATAAGAAAAAGTTTTTTATGAATTGATTTAAAGGATTTATTTTTGCGAAAAGTTTTTTGTTTTATTTTGATTAGTAATTTAATTAACGTTAATTTTTGTATTAATTTTTATATTTAAGTATTAGATAATCATTGCCGACTAGGCACAGAATTGATAGTGTACCGGAGCTAAGAGTCCAGCGATTGTCTTAATTGGGTGACAATAGTCTCCGCTTTGGCCAAAGTATCGTCTTTTTTAATGAAACAAAATCTGATAAAATTTGCGGCCAAATGCTTGTGTTCGGGCGAATAGAAAGCACTCGCGGGTATACCCATCAGACCGGCCGACTTAGTCAACCATTTGGCGAACCGGTAGTCCTTCGGGCGTTCGGACCACTCGTCGTCCGATATGTCCACCCGAACGGCCAGTTTGGAGTAGTCGGTGATCATAAAGTATCCGCCCTCTGGTATAGTGGGCGTCATATCGCCGGCCGCCAGGAATCGGCCGATAGTGTCCCGCTTGGCCTCCAGTGATTGAGCCAATTGTGTCCAATAGGAGTCCGGTGTGTTCAGGCGTTTCAGCTCGAGCTCAAAAGGGTGCCGGTCACGGAGGACATACCCACACCCTGACCTCGACTGTAATGAGACCACATACTCTATATCGCCTAGCTACTCCACAAACCCTGGCATTCGGGTAGGGTAGAAGGTTGGCCAGTGGCTTTATGTCTTTCCGCCGCTGCCTATAGTGATAGTCCGGTCCCACATATCGGGCAGCGAACACATACGGGTGTGAGTGACGCCCCCGTAGGCCAACCACTCGTACACCTCGTCCATCACTACCAGGCAGTCGTATTTGTGACATAAACGGCCAATCAGTTCCAGTTCTTCACGCGAATAAACCTAATATTTACAAAACAAATAATCAAAGCACAAGTTCCTAAGGTATAGCGGATCCATACCTTTCCCAACGGATTGTTCGGTGTGTTGACGATAATAAACTTGGTCTTCGGCGAGAACTTGGACTCCAGTTCTTGGAGATCGAGACGCCAGTCGGCGCTCGACAGCGACTGACTGTCACCGCCAGCGGTCGGTTGTTTGGGCCGCAACGGCACGAACACAGGCGTACCGCCGGCCAGTCTGGTCATCGGCTCGTAGCAGTCAAAGTACGGCTCAATGATAATGACTTCGTCGCCGGGGTTCACATAAGCGGCGAACGCGCAGTACAACGCCTGATATGCGCCCGAAGTGATGAGCACATCCGTCATGGGCTCGATCTTGAGACCCGTCAGCCGCGAGTAGAGCTCACTCAAGGCGTTCACGAGCCTCGGGTGACCCATATCTCGGGTGTACTGATTGAGAAGCGGCCGCTCGGGATCGTTGGCCGCCGCCGACAGCGCTCGGGACAGGTGTTGGGGCGCAGCGAAGTCGGGAAAGCCTTGGCCGAGATTAAGGCACGGGTACTGTCGCGCCAACTCTATGAACTCCACCCACACGTTGGTCTCCACGGCGTTCAGCCGATCGGCGCGAAAACATTTTGTGGACATTTTGGCCATCGGTTTGCTGCGGGAATGGAGCAAAAATGACCAAGGGCAACAAAAATAGATATTCTCACTCAAACAAAAGCACTTATTTTAGTGTAACTTTTAGAGTAACTTAAACCGAATATAAGCCGTACTTAAAGCACACTTTGGTGGCCAACGGGCACCGGCCAAACAGGACCCGGGGTATAACGTGCCGCATAAACACAAACAACGTTACGCTAACTATAAGTTAATGAAAAGCTTTCAAACAGACAAAAAAAGTTATTGTAAAACAGTTGCAAAAATTAATTACAAAAAAATAATTATTAGTTTAATTAAAAAGTGGTGTTAATTATCAGTGACTTTATTATTAGTGTCATATGAGAGAGAAATAGTCATAAAGTGTTTGCAAATACTTTTAAAGCGTTTATTAAATAAACAGTTAGATAATGAATGGCTTTATTAACGCAGTATACGAGCGCTATCATAGAGGCCAGGGATGGGCCGATGACAGGAGTGGTGGCGGGAGTGTATGGGAGAGCGCTGGGAGAGGGAGTGAGAGAGAGTATATGTGGGAGAAAGAGGGGGTGCATTGAGTGCTGAGCACTGATAAAGTGAGTGAAAGCTTCAACAAAATGAGGCAATGAAATGATTAAACGGACGTAATTGTTGTACAGTAAGGCTATAGCGTTGGGTTTGCATAGGGTTTGCATTACATGGCATAGCGTTAGGGCATTAGGAGAGGCATAGAGTGTGTGTGAAAAGCATTGAATGCGAGAGAAAAATAAAAAGTAAACAAATCTTACGATCGTTTTGTGCGAAGATTTGTGAGCCGTGTTTCTCGACACCGATCGCCGCCCGAATCGACCGATGCTTACGACCGAACACTCGCTAAACACTCACCCGATTAGGTATGGCGTGAAGTGGCGGCCAATCGGTGGCCAATAATCGCCGCACAAGCGGTCTGTTTGGCGAAAGAAGTAATTTCTGCACTCAATATAAATCGCTATTAACTGAAAAATTTTGTGCTAAAAACTCGTTCACAAACGCTGTGTATGTGTTGTGAAGCATACGTCTGTTGGGTGTGTGCTGTGTGTGTACTGTATTCGTGCCATATATACCCATACCGTATATATACGGCCTCTTCTATACGCTTATATACAGTACAGTCGACTGTCGGTATTGCGTACACTAGATATAAGCAATCATCATAAATAGAAGTGCAAGATGGAAATGTTAAAGAGCGAGGTGAAATTGCTTTTATTGCGAAACGCTCAGCTCGAGAACGAAAACACCAAGCTCAC